CTGGTCGAGTGGTTAGGGTGTTGGGCTGTCATGCGGAAGAATCAGGTTCGATGCTTTAAGGTTATGATTGCCAAACAGTGCTCACTGGGGTCGTAAATGCTCCGTGTACTTTCCAAGGGCCTCGCGGCCGCTCCAGACAAACGAGGCAAGGTTTTGACAATATCGTGTGTGTTGGTGGTAGTTCACACATACACAACAACAAAATTCACTTTTATGGTACATTTCCATGTTTTTAAATATGATTCCATTGCATGAACATTGCGCAATTATTTAGATATCTCTTTACTTTACATCCCCTTGGTGTCTACTGGATATATTGTAGGGTAATTGCAGGAGTGCTAGGGAACGAAAGAGCGGATTTCTGGCTACAAAAGCGAAAGCTACGGTAACACTCGCACTGGAAATGACGATATTCTGAAGACCACATATAAACAACTGTTGGCAGAAGGAACGAGATTAGATGAAATAACATTGGCAAGAATGTGTTATCGAGGAATTAAGTGTAGATCCGGCAAAGAAGGGCGTATGAGAGGAGAGAATGAACAGTTAGCATTTACATCTTAGGACATTTGCTGCGGGAGACGGAGCACCTATGAGTACGCCAGGTGTGATATGATGACGATTTCTAAATCAGTAACATCAGTAAATTACTGTGTACCCCCTCTTTCTACATTATTTCTAAACATTGCTATCAGCGGCTTTAAGGGTTTTCATTCTGTTCATTTCTGTGTGATACCCCGTGTGGGTTTCGGGGCCCTATTATAGGGAAAACAAGAATAAACCCACTGCCTACCCAAAAGCATGTCGTATGAGTCGACTAATTGGGAGCTTCCTTCGAAGTCGGAGTGAATCTGCCTGAGAGGCAAAGAACCAGCAGTCTGCATACAAATGAGTCAGATCTTTCCAACGGATGCACACGCAACACTCAGCTTCTGGAACAGGACTGCCGTCCAGAAGTGGATGAACAACCAGAACTTTCCGCCAGAGTTTACAGCTGGTGAACGAGAAGAAGAAGAAGAAGATTTATGTGTGATACATGTAACAAGCTTGAACCTAACAATCAAATCTCTTTCTTAAATGTTCGTTATATTGCAGACCAAGCATTACGGTTTGATGTGTCTGTAAATTGTTGCCGTGTTTATTATTCGACCTAAGCTTTATTAATATAAAGGTATGTAACCTACTGTGCCGTTTTATTGGTTGGAGATGAATTCTGTCCGTATTCCTTAGTTGTGGGTTTCAAGCTGTGTGATCGATGAAGATACTTTTTTAAGGGTGCCTAGTTAGTCATGTTCTTAGTACACGTGTTTCCGAGGTTAGGTTCACGCGCCATTTGGAGGAAACAGGTTTGATTCCCGTCACGGTAACTATAACTGTCGATTTTAATGCTTCGTAGTGTGTCTTTCTGTATGTCTACTATTTTTTAGGACTGCCGATCAATGAATTGTCTGTTTGTCTATTACATACCTGGGAGTCAAGGCCATTTTTTTAGAAAAATCCGGCTCTGTCAGGACGCGAACCCCCGACCTTCCGATCCGCAGGCTGGTTTCTAGCCGCCAACGCCACGTCGACTTCCTTCAATCGACTATGGATTCCCAGGAATGGAAAAGCAGAGCTTGTGAAGGCTACATGAAACCTCGTGCAGCACTCCCCACCCCTTTCCAAACACTCAACCTGTCTCAGGACCTTAAAACGCTAAACACACTTAAAACAATCTTAGAAGTTAAGCTGGAGAGAAGACTACAACTCTTACAGACCAGAATGTGTTTTGAGGCGAGGAAAGATAGACAAAATTATAGAAAACAAAATTGCCATTATATCAGTCTTTTGGTTTGATTCTTCTTCTTCTTCTTCTCTTCCACCTTATACCCCATCGAAGTGTCGGGGGGAGATGTAATGTTAGTTGATGGGCTCTGTATTCACGGTAAGAAATAGACTCCAGAACTTGGTGACAAGTAGCAAAATTGTCTCCTTATTTTTTTTTTTTTTTTTTAAATTTCCTACAGGAACAGAGCAACTATGGGCTGACCGTTTTGCTATGAATTTAAAACTACGATGTAGTAGAAATAGTGTGTGAAGAAAACACGCTTGGATTCGCTTATGTGGTTTAGGGATTTGGGAGCTTAGCATCACAAGCAAAAAGGTTAAAGTCGAGAGAATCGACTTCATTGCACCGGATTTTATCCCATATAAAGGCGGTCTCTCTCCAGAGAACGGCAAGCCGCTTGCCGAGAGCGTCTCACCGAGCACGAACTCCGTAGCTCCATCGAGGATTCCCTTGGATCTCTGTAAAAACCGCACACGTAAACTGAACGACGCAGCCGGGAATCGAACCTAAGACCTTCATTTAAAAAAAAAATATTTTAATACCTCATTTTAGGTTTCTTTTCATTATTAGTATTATGATTATCAATACTATTATTGTTAGTATTATTATTATTATTATTATTATTATTATTATTATTATTATTATTATTATTATTATTATTATTGGAAAAAC